AAATTGAAATACAGGTTGTAATGGAACAATTCACAGGAGGCTGTTGCTATGAGAGAAATAAGGGGGCTCCCTAGAGCATCAGAGTGTATGCAGGGGTGGGCAAAGTGGGTCAGAAATAGCTTCCCAGAAAAGGCTACACTTGAACTGAGTCCTGAGGATAAATAAGAATCAGCCAGGCAGATAGTGGGGAGGAGGCAAAGGCTAATCCAGGAAGAAGGAATTGTGCTGGGCAAAGGCGCATTTGGGGGCTGGGGAGAATTTCTCTAAGGCTGTCCTGTTCTAGGCACTGAGTGACAGAGATAAGCCTGGAGAGTAAGTAGAGTACTGTAGCACCTTGAACCCAAAGCTGAGGCCCATGGGCCCAGAGCTGAAATACTGCTGAAATATAGGCTGTCAGGAGCAGGTTAGCATTTGGGGAGAATATCTCTAGTTTCAGGGAGGAGAACAAGGGCAGGAGGATGAGGTGGGGCTATGGGTAATCCAGGGAGGAAATAAAGAGTACATTCAGGTGGCAGTGCTGGGTGTGAAAAGGGTGTGGATTTGACAGTGACATTAAAATAGAAAGACAGGACTTGGTTTATCGTGTGGGAGTGAGAGGAAGGAGGTCTACATGACTCTCCATTTCTGGCTTGGGCAATGGGGTTGATCAAGAGAGAATGCAGAGGAGGAAGGATTAAGTAAGTGGCTTGGGAGATGACAGTGAGTTGGCTTTTGGACCTGCTGTGTGCAGAATGCCTAGGGCCAGCCAGGCAGGGATGTCTGAGGGACAGTTTGGAAATCTCGTTATCAGAGATCTGAACTGGAGAGAGTTATGGATGTTGCTTGCACAGAAAAAGGCTGAGGACTGGCTGTGGATGACAGCATCCCAGGAGAGGGAGAAGGCAGATAAAGAAAAAGACAAACCTGGAATGGTGGAGAATACTGCAGGGGTAGGGAGCAAGGAGGAGGAGTCCAGAAGGAAGACAACAGCATTAAAGAAAAACAGCTTAAATAAGAGCGATCAAAGGCCAAGCCAGATGAATGCTAATAAATGTCTAGTGGGTGTGGTTATTAGGACTTCACTGGCAATCTCATGGCGAGCACGTGAGCAGTGGGAGTGGAGTGAAGAGAAAAATGGAAGAGACAGGTGTAGGCCCTTGGTTCAAAGAGCTTGACTGTGGAGAGAAGGGAAGAGATAGGGCAAAAATCTAGGAGCTGTTGATGTCTTAAGATAGGGAGACAGGGCTTGATCAGGTTTAAGGACATCAGTGGTGAAGGAGACCTGAAAGCTGTGTGAGAGATGGGGACCAAAATCAGCAGCAGAGATAGCCTGGATCCTCCGTCTCCTGACTCCCAGTCTAGTGCTCATTTCTATCCCATGGTGCCTTCCTTTTCCAGGTGAAGGGCCAAGAAGGGGAGGGGTGTTATGGAGAGCTGGGAGCCCCCAGCTTGTGAGGTAGTAAGGGCTTCCTTTCGAACTACAACCGCATAGGTGGGGGAGGCATCAGCAGGGACCACTGGGGACAGTCGGCAGGATCTTCTGAGGGCCGTATGATCCAGGTCTGCGTAGAGCAGGCTCTGAAAGGTGGGGAGGAAGGTAGGAGGGTCTCAGATGTCTGACTCCCTTGGGGATCCAAGCCTATGTCTTTCTTGGTCCACTTTACTCACGGATTCTGGCCAGCCCCCATCGCACCCCGAAACCTTTACCGGCTCCTGGTCCAGGTCCCCTGCAATCTTGGGCTCTTCCTCCTCTACTGGCCTCTGGGGCTCCGCTTTCACGAATGGAACTATGTGGGGGGGACAGAGCTGAAGGATTGAGAGAAGGTGACCAACTTGTCTGCTCCCAGCGAGGGCTCAGACTCAGGAATTGGGTGGGCAATGTGCGGGGAAGGCAAATGGGGTGGAGTTAGTCTCACCAAATCTGGGGGGTGGTCGAGGCGGGTGAGGGGGCGAGCGCCTGTAAGGGATGGATAAGAGTCTCTAAGAACCACTAATCTTGTCTCGCTTGTTCTGGGCCCCAGGACGCGCCAACAACAACCCAGCAACAGGCCGGCTCTGACCAGCAAAACAACCTCGGTTCCCACCCGCACAGATAGTTTCGCCCACGCTTGGAGCCAGCTCGGCCTCTAGCTTGGCTTCCTTAGCTAGGGCTCCACCCACCAGCCCACGGCCTCGCCCGCAAGTTCCGACCTCCCCCATTCGTCTCCGAACCACACCCGAGGGCTCCCGATGTAGTTTTGGCCCGCGAAAGTTCTGGGCCTGCCCCTCCCGCCTCTGGTCAAGAGCCTTTCAATCAGGCCCGGCCCCTAGAGCTCACCTGCGCAGCCAACAGGCCCAGCCCAGTACTCCGAGTCCCAGCACCAGCCCAGCGCCCAGCAGCGGGGTTAGAGTCTGGGGATACACGGACCCTGCGGGAACGTTGGTAGCGGGGTAGCGGTGGATGCCGAGGTCAGGGTGCGGGGACAGAGAGCTAGCTCTCCCACTCAGGAACCCCCAGACCAGGCTTCCTCCCTGACGGGGGCGTGTGTCTGAGTTAGGTCCCCTTTGTGTGAAGGCCTGGACCTACCGTGGGTAGGCCCCAGAGCTCTGCAATAGGCCCGGTCCCCCAGCACGTGAAGCTCCGTACGGCTCTCGTTCTCTTGGCGGCCCTTGCAGATAAAGGTGCCCGAGTCCCCCGCGCTCAGGAGCAGCTCCAGCCGCCGGATATCAAGGTCCAGGGCACGTAGGCGGCCAGCAAAAGGCTGGACGGGAGACACGGTGGGGGTCCCGTTCGGTGAGGCCAGCAAGATCGCGCGGCGTCCTTTGGACAGGCCTTTGCAAGCCGGGAATCTAGGTGCCCAGACCCAGCGGGTGGGTTGCGAGACCCCTACGCAGGAGAGATTCACCCGGTCCCCGGGGTGGCCGTCCAGTGAAGCTAGGGGAGGCGGGGGGGGGGGGGGGGGGGGGGGGGGGGGGGGGGTTGGGGGGGACGGTGGTCAAGGCAAGTCCACAGAGCAAGACGCCCCTCCCCCTTACGCCTTTTCCCTCTCCTCTACCCTCCCGCCAGCCTGGGTCTTCCCATACACATCTCATCCCCCCCACTACCCGCACCGGGTCTCCTCCTTCTCCTGCCTCAGTCTTTCCTCGCCCATTCCGACTTTCCTGGGATGGCTTACCCCCGGGGTTCCCCTGGGCCCTCGACAGCAGCAGCGGCAGCAGCTGCAGAACCAAGGCCATGGCTGCGATGTGGTGGGAAGAGGAGGCCAGTGAATCAGCGAAGGAGACCGGAGGGAAATCAGAGGGGGGTGGAGGGGGAGACCGCAGGTCTGGGGGCTCCGATAAGGGGTGGGGGAGGGGCCACCAGCTGCCCACATCCCTCTGGGAATCCTTGCAGGCAGGTTCACAGCCCTCAACCAATGCTCACTTAGAATTCATGCTGGGGCCCTTTACACAAGCACTTTAGCAGACTTTAACTCTTTTTTTTTTTTTTGGCTGTGTTGGGTCTTTGTTTCTGTGCGAGGGCTTTCTCTAGTTGCGCCGAGCGGGGGCCACTCTTCATCGCGGTGCGCGGGCCTCTCACTATCGCGGCCTCTCTTGTTGCAGAGCACAGGCTCCAGATGCGCAGGCTCAGCAGTTGGTGGCTCACGGGCCTAGTTGCTCTGCGGCATGTGGGACCTTCCCAGACCAGGGCTCGAACCCGTGTCCCCTGCATTAGCAGGCAGATTCTCAACCACTGTGCCACCAGGGAAGTCCTACAATACTATTATACCTGAGAAGTCCCCAAGGGTTGGTTTGGTTTTTTTTTTTGCGGTACGCGGGCCTCTCACTGTTGTGGCCTCTCCCATTGCGGAGCACAGGCTCCGGACGCACAGGCTCAGCGGCCATGGCTCACGGGCCCAGCCGCTCCGCGGGATGTGGGATCTTCCCGGACCGGGGCACGAACCCGTGTCCCCTGCATCGGCAGGCGGACTCTCAACCACTGCGCCGCCAGGGAAGCCCTTGACTTTAACTCTTGAAGCATAGCAGTTGCCGGGAACACCACAGTTTCTGGATCTTGGCTGTCTGAATTCAAATCTCGACTTCACCTACTAGCTGCGTGATGTGCGCAAGTCGCTTAACTTCTTTGGGCCTGCTTGCTCATCTGTAAAATGGGAATAAAAGCACCTACCTCGCAGAGTATTGTGAGAACTAAATAAAGTCATACCCAGTAAATGCCTAGAACAATGGCAAAGACATAGGAGTACTATATGCTTGCCATTATTACTATTTCTATTCTTATTTTAGCTGCTACCTCACCCCTCTGTGCCCACTTCGTCCCTCCCGGCCCAAGGTGGCCCGCCCAAATTGGCAGGTTTTGATTGGGGAGGTGCTTTGGAGCAGGTGCACAGCCCCACACCCAGGACTTCATCAGCCCTCACTGCACTGGAGCAACCAAGGCCAGGCCAAGCCCAGGTGGAGCCAGGATGAGGTCCTGAGAACCTTCAGGGGGCCTAAGGCAGCCCCTCCCTAACAGGCAGCTCCAGCCCATGCCTCTGCTGCTTTGACATCACAGAAGCTCTTGGTCACATCACAAATCGTACTCCTCCATCCTGTGGCTGAGGAGGGGTTGGGAAAACTAAGTGGACTGAGATGAATTTGGTGCTCAATTTGTGCCCACATACCCCTACCAATGCCCCCCAGGGAGCAAAATTTTGCAGTCAGCTTGGGCCACACCCCATTGTCCATTTCCCAGGAACCAGCAGACACTGCTACCACCACAGCCACTGTAACATCACAGGGGCCTTTGGTGATACTTCTTCAGAGGACTGGGCAGACAGGGATGTTACTCCTGGGGGCCAGGAGGGTGTGTCTTAGACTGAAACCAAGAACCAAAATGGAGTTGGCCACTAGTGCACCTACCTACCCTCCCCACCTCTCTCTGCCATCCCCATCCCTACTGCCCCACTGGGTCCTGCTTAGCCCCTCCCTAAATGGGGAAGGAGGGGCCACCAGAGGCCAGGTAGGGCGGGACTGTTGTGGCTATAAATTCCAAAAAGGCCACTCAACTCCCAGAGCAGGATCCCTGGAATTCTACCCTGTCAGCTGCTGCTGTTGCTACCGTTCTCAGGACCCTCACCATGAAAGGCCTTCTGCTGATCACCTTGTCTTCTCTGCTCTGCTGGGTCTCAGGTGAGCACCTGGGGGCCCCAAGGACCTGGTTCACCTGGTTAGGACTTTTACACCCTGCCCCAGGCACTGCCCTACACTACCCGCTACTCAAGGTCCCAAGCGCCCCCAGACCCAACTGGCTCAGCTCTCCTGTGCCCCGCTGTGACAGGGTCCTTGCTCTGTTTCTCAAGGACCCATGTCTCCATCTTCAGACTCTTCCCCACCTCCAAGACGCACTCTTCTGACCTGCCCAGGGTTCCAGGTCCCCTGTTCCCCACTCCTTGGAAACCCTGATATCCAGTTCCCCTGCCAGCCCCACTCTGATACAGAACTCTCCAGGATCCAGCTTACCTGCTTTCTCCTCTCACCACCTGCACTCAGCCAGGGCGTCCTCCCAGAAATCTAGGCAACCAGTCTGGGGCTTCTTTTGTGACCCCTCCTCCCATCTACTCCATCAGGGACTTTGTGCTCAGTCCCTCGAGCAGTGGCCTTTCCTAGATCGCCCCCCTGCTCCTCCCTGAGGTGCATACCTCCAGGAACACAAGCTTTCTGGAGGGCTCCAGTGACCTCTCAGAACCTCCCAGGGAACCAGGGAGATTTCCCGGCCTTCTAGGGAGGGAATGCCAAGGTTGCTCACCCCCAGGGTGAGGTGGGTTTCACTGAGGTGCAGTCACCAGGCTCCTCCACCGACTGAACCCTTCCGTCCCTCAAACCTTGAATCGGATGCAGCAGAAACTTTCGGGGTGCCACCTTCTGCCTTTCTGCACCCATCCTCTCCATTTTGGTAAAGTGCTCAGATGGATTCTGATGATCTGTCTCCCAGATACTTCTCCTTTCTGTCAGAGAGCTACTGGGGTGGGAGGATTCAGTTCAAGTCTGGTTCCTCTTCCCATGCTCTTGGCGGCCCCAGGAGGTGAAGAATACATTGCTAATCTGGCCCCAGGTGGCTTTCTTGCCAGCCTCAAGTTCCAAGCCATTTCTGCAAGTGTTGTAACCACCATGGTTTTTACTTTTAAGGTTTCTTCCTATTTCAAGACTCCATCTGTGACCTCTTCTGAATTCCTTCATCTCCTCCCTCGCCACCTCCATTCCTTCCCCATGGTATTCTCACATTTCATCTGTCCCCAGCCCTATTGTTGGTAACTGCCTCTCTCGACTCATCTCCAGATGGGGTGGAGTGAAGGAAGACATTTAGGGTGTGGGCCATTCACAGAGCAACTCCATCCTCACCCACTTGCATTTTTTCTGCATCACTCACCCTCTCTGTCCCTACCAGAACAAACAGGTCAGAATACCTGCTTGATTGGCTCTTCTCCACCCTGCCCACCAGCTGGGCTCATCCCCAGGTGAGTCAGACACTCCGTCACTTCAGCCCGACTTGTGTCTTCCCAGCTGACATTCGCTGTCACTCCTGCTACAAGGTCCCTTTGCTGGGCTGTGTGGACCGGCAGTCCTGCCACCTGGAACCAGGACAGCAATGCCTGACAACAAATGTGTACCTCGGTAACATTCCTTTCTTCAGTGGGGAGAGGGGGCCAGTGGGAGACTCTGTGGCTGGGGCTGAGGTGGAACAGGGAATTACAGCAATGATAATATTTGGCCAAGGATTATTACGTGCCAGGCACCATCCTATGTCTTTACAAGGATTGTTTCAATTAATGCTCATGACAACCCTATGAAGTGTGGGTGCTATTATTATACTGAGAAAACAGCCTCAAAAAGAGACAGTAACAGGTCCAAAGCCTCACGGGCAGCAAGTGATAGGACCAGGATTGGGGTGAGGGGCAGGGTAAGGAAGTGCAGGAGAAAGGATAGACTGAGAAGAGATACAGAAGGGGAAGGCCAAGGGCAGAGTTGGGAAGGGAGGAAGCCTGGGTGGGGTGCACGGGGTGGGGAGGTGGACACAGGCATGCCAGGTGCCCATCTTAACTGTCCCCACTGCCCCCTCCTAACCCCAGGGAAGATGTGGGTTTTCTCCAACCTACGCTGTGGCACACCAGAAGAGCCCTGTCGGGAGGCCTTCAACCAAACCAACCACAAGCTAGGCCTGACCTATAACACCACCTGCTGCAACAAGGACAACTGCAATAATCCAGCCCCTCGGCCCACCCCGGCCCTGGCCCTTGTCCTCCTTACCTCCTTGGCTGGCCTTAGCCTCTGGCTGTTGCACTGAGACTCACCCCATGGCTGCCCCTCCTCCCACCTGCCTTAGCCTCTCTTCTTGTGTCTTCATATCCTCTGCTTCCTTTTGCTCAGAAAAGCATTTCTCCAGACCCTTCACATTTCTTTAATTAGACGGTGGTCCCCCGATCCATCCTTCCATCCCACACCCTCCACTCTGCTTCTCTGGAGTCTCTTTCCATTTCCCTTGACACCACTCCAGATCCTCCATCGTCTCCTAGAAGGGCTCCGCACTTTGCCTCCTGAACTCCCCTGTGCCCTATGTGAGGAGGGATTGGAATCTGGGCCTGAAATGGGGTTTCTGTCCTGTCCCCAGTGAAGGCTCCCAGGAAGGACCTGATGACCTCACTGTATGAGCTGATTCTCCAAACCCTGGCTCCCATACGTACCTCATCCCCTTGCTCACCCCTTTCCATTTTGAGTAATAAATGTCTGTATATGATCAGTTGTGTATCAGAAGATCTATTGTCAGAGGCGCCCTCCCAGGAAATAACACTCTCAGCCCTCACACACACCACTCACCCAAGAACCCTTCAGGGAGTTTCTCTCAGAGGCTGGGCTGGGGCAGATGGAAAAACAGGTTTTGCAGGCTTCCATCCTCTCTTCCAGTGTCTGGGTTGTGGTGTACAGGGCCCAGTGTTTGGAGAAGTAATATTTACCTTAAATTTAGGCCACACCTCTGATGTACTGCCAAGAAAGAGGTGCAGTCTGGCTTGAGGGCTCCTCAGAAAGGGTAGGAGAGTTGCATGGGGATGGGACCTGGGACCCTCTTTCCAGGCCTCAGTCCCTCAAGTTAGATTCAGAGGCCTCACCTGGCCCAGTATGTGGGGCACCAAGCCACCCTCCTTTCACAGTGCTTACATTTCCTTTCTCAATTCCAAGTAGTCATATTGGGAGCCAAGTTGCAAATGCGGGGAAGGGGAACAAGCCCAGACAACGAGGCTCGTTGATTCCTGGTGGCCCCCACTCAGCCCAGAGCCTGCTCCCCTCAGTGATCCTCGTTGCTAAGGAAGATTCTCCCTAGCAACAGGGTGCAGGAGTCACATAGGGCAGATTCTCCATTGTCCTTTGGGGTTTAGTTGGTTAAGGAGTGCACCATTGCAACTAAGTCCACTGATCCTTGATAACCCCTAAACTAGAGCCTGGTTGCCCCCACATTACTCCATCAGCCCTCCCATCAACAAAAGATGGAATTTTCCAGTCAGCTCTAGAGTGGTCGGTAGATTTTAATGGCTCACAGAGGAGTGTTTATCTTCTCACCTCAGATCCCCTTTGTTCCCTTGCTCCCTTGCTCCCTTCTCTTCCCCTACTCCCACTACCCTCTCCACAAAAGCCAGGCTAGGGCGGTGACCCCTGCAGCCACGATGCACGCGGGGGCTGCAGTGCTCGCCACAGCACTGTTGCACAGGTCGCAGACACAGCAATCCCTGTGGGTCATATAAGTCACGTCTCCCACCACCTCTGTTTCCACTCGACTGCAATGATGGGCCGCCACGCAGGTTGCATGGTGATGAATCAAGGTCACTGAGGCTGAGAGAGAGAATGAGATTGGGCTGTTGGACTCCTGGCTTGAGGACTTGCCTTCTGGGGCAGAGCAGATGTGATTCCAAGGAGCCCAAAGGGATCCTCTGCCCCCTCAAAAAACACCTCCCTGTCGGGCTTCCCTGGAGGCGCAGTGGTTGAGAGTCCGCCTGCCGATGCAGGGGACGTGGGGTCGTGCCCCGGTCTGGGAAGATCCCACATGCCACAGAGCAGCTGGGCCCGTGAGCCACGGCCGCTGAGCCTGTGCGTCCGGAGCCTGTGCTCCGCAACGGGAAAGGCCACGGCAGTGAGAGGCCCATGTACCGCAAAAGAAACCCAAAAAAACAAAACAAACAAACAAAAAAACCACCTCCCTGAAACCAAGTGAATCCCTGATGGGATGCACTGAAAGGGACCAACATCACTTCTTGCCACAAACTCACGACCTCAGTCTAATCATGAGAAAATATCAGGTAATCCAAATTGCGGGACGTTCTATAAAATAACTCATCAGGACTCTTCAAAAATGTCAAGATCATGGAATCAAAGGAAGACTCAGAACTGTCCCAGAGTGGGGACGACTAAGAAGACAGGAGAGCTAAAGGCAATGTAGGATCCTGGTGTGGGTCCTGGATCAGAAAAAGGACATCAGTGGGACAACTGGCTAAATTGAGTAAGGTCTGTAGGTTAGTTTGTTGTACTGTACCGGTGTTATTTTCTGATTTTGCTAATTGTACTATGGTTATATAAGACATTAACATTAGAGGAAACTGGGTGAGGCTATACAGTACTGATCTGTACTATTTTTCTAATAAAATTAACTTTTCTGTCAACCTAAAATTATTTAGAAACAAAAAAAATTAGAATACACACACACACATACCTCCCTGGTCCTTAGCTGATGCCTGCAAGTTGAAGTTTGGCTGAATGTTTTGGTCCCTGCCTTCAAGGGAGCTTTTCACCCATTTGTGAGTGAAAGGGTCTCTGAGACTCTTTCTGGAGGGTAAAGAGGAGGGGGTGGGGCCACACAGACAGCGGGCTTCCAGGGGCTCAGTGCCAGGAGCCAGAAGGGGCTACAGACCGCTCCACTCTGACAGCGGCACCATCTGCCCAGAGCCAGACTGAGCCTGGAAGGTTCTGGAAGCCAGAAGGACTGAAGTAGTAGGGGCTGGAGGCAGGGGGACAAACGGAGGACTCACGGTTTCCAGATGGCTTGGTCTGTCTCAGGTCTGGTTGGGGTTTGCCCTCCAGGAAGCCGCAGCGTTTGCCCTGGCCGCAAGTGGTCACGGTCTCTTTGCAGGAGCCGCTGGGGCGTCCACCGCAGTCATAACACCGCTTGCGGTTTCCTGGCAGGAGAGAAGAGGTGCTGGAACTGGGCGGGGGTGGGGGGCGGCTGGCACAGGGCGACGGGCCTTTGTGACAGGCGCCTTGGCTGCCTCCTTACCCAAGGCAGCCCGCAGCAGGGCGCTGAGCGGGATCCCAGCAAACAGGGGGTTCATTGTGTCTGCCTGTGTCCGTAGCACCTCTCCCTCCCGCCCACCCGCCTCCCTGGCCCCGCTCTGCCAGCCTTTTATCCCCCTTGTCTTGGGCTTTTTTTTTTTTAATTTTTTATTTATTTATTTTTGGCTGCATTGGGTCTTCGTTGCTGCGCGTGGGCTTTCTCCAGTTGTGCTTGCCTTGGGCTTTATAGGGCAATAAAATGGGAGGAAAGAGACTCCTCCAGCAGCCACCGGGGGCCCCAGTGGGGACAGGGAGGGGCCCCCACAGGAGAAAGAGCTCTCAGCATCCTCTGGCATCCCCAAACTCTCCCATCTCAGGAACAATTCTAAAACGGTGGCCCCAGACCTCCTGCGGGTCCCTAAGGCCCTTTTAGAGGGTTCTCCACCGTCTTCCTTTTCCAACTACATATCTGTCAGATTTTCTTCAGATACTTCAATCAAAACAACAAATCCCAACAGGTTGAATGCAGAAGCAGATGTGAAAACCCAGCCATCTTCTATTTCTTCTATTAAGCCCAACATTAAACAGATTCCGCAAAGGGTAAAGCCATGCCACCCTTCTCACTGCACTGTTGGGAAAGGAATTATTTTCCGCAAAACTATGCTTTGTTAACATGTAATAGGTTTATTGTCTTTTTATTTTTAAATGAACCTATTAAAATATTCTGTTTCTATTTCTCATATAGCAAATATTGATATAACTTACATAAGGAAAGCTCTTTGGGGTGTTCAGTAATTTTTGTGTGTAAAGAGGTCCTGAGATAAATGTTTTGAAAACTGTTGCTCAGTGGATACCTGTGTCTCCTCTGCCTCACCTCCACCTCACATCTCCCCCACCCTGTCTGCCTCTTACTCCCAGTACGTTCTGCCCTGATTCCCCAGATGCAGCTCTTCTCCCCAATCTCTAAGCCCCCGTCTTCCAGACTCTACCACCCGTACTCCCCAAATCTTAACGTTGCCTTCCTTCCTGGTCTTTCTGACCCTCATCCCTGCACCAGTGGAAACACAGCAGTCCCTCTGGCCGCACCCATGATTCTTTCCTCTAAGGCAGTAAGGCTGGGAGAGATAATTATGGGGTAAGAATGTTGAGGCTTGGGGGAATCAAAGGAATGGGAAGCTGGGTGGCGTCCTCCCTTATGCAGCTGCAGCTGGGCTCTGTGTGTGGGCCGGTGGGTGGGGGATTGTTGAGCCCACACTCAAACACCACTCGCCAACTCTGGGCCAGGGCTCAAGGTCAAGGAGAGTGACCTTGACAGACTTAAATGCACAGAAGGACAAAAGACAGAGAAACAAAAACAAGGAGATGAGAGAGCAAAGAACAGCTTGAGACAAGGGGAGGGAGGGAAAGGAGTAGGAGGGGAAGTGACAGACGCTGACAGACACCGGTTCAGGAGCGACAGACGCAGCTAAGAGTAACAGACCAACGCTGTGGGAATGGAGAACACCCTTAAGGCAAGAGCAGGCTCTAGTAGGAGACAGGGAGGATGTGAGAACTGTGAGAACAGGGTCCCTGCTATGTCAGTCTGCCAAATCTGGTCCCCCACCTTCAGATTCACTCCCTAGGCGTGTTTGTTTACTGCTCCCTCCCTGTCTCACTTAGATGCTCCATCTCTCCAACTCTAGGATCTCTGGGTGCAGATCACATTCTCCCAGACTCCTGAGCCCCGGGTCCAGCCATGGGCACCTCCAGCATTTTCCTCTGCATTCTGTTCCTCGGTGGGGCACTGGATAAGGGTGGGCTGGGGAATCCTTGGGGGCTGGGCGCAGGGTGGGGTGGGGGTGCTGGCAGGGGCTTGTGGAGGAGCCTGCGGTCTGGGGGTGGGGGGTGGCGGAGAGGGTGCTGAGAAATGCCAAGGAGGGAGTTGTAGGGGTTTTGGAAAGAAAAGCTACTGGGAATGGTCTCAGGACAGCCTGATGAGGTGGAACAAGAAAAATTTCCTTTCAAAGGCATTTGAGAATAACTGTTTCTTTCCTGTGGCATCTTTGACAAGCCTCTGTCTCCCCTGACCCTTATCTCACCTTCTGTTTCTTTGCTGGGCCCCTTGGTCAATGTTAATTCCTATTTTCTCATCTGACTTAGCACCATCTGCTTAACTTCTTCACTGGCAATCCCTCCCCGTCCCGGCCTGGTTTTTTGTGTCATTCTCTGTGCTCATCTCTGATTCTCTTGGCTTCTGTTCATGTCTGTGTGTCTCTCACACTCCCTGTATCCCTCGTGCCTCTGTGTCGTTTCCTTTTCCTGTATTATCCCCCCTCCCTTCTCTGTGTCTCTTTTTCTATTTCTGTCTATTTTCCCCTCCACTTCACTGCTCCTCTCTCCCCACTTTGTGTATCACCTCTGTCTGTGCATCCCGTTCCCAAATCTGGGCTCGGCCTCTCACCTGTCCTGTTTGCCTCTCCTCCCTGCCTGATCTCCACCGACCCC